CTGAGTAAAGAGCCGCTGGGGGCAGTCCGAGGTTGTCGGAGAGGTCGCTGAGGCCGTAGAGGCCAAGAAGCCGACGCATAGTGAGCTCGGCGTACTCCTTCATGTCGGATGCCTCGCTGCCATCCTCATGGGGTCCGGGTGAGGTGGGGCGAGACAGAAGAGCATTGAGGCGGGGATGGGCGCTGGGGCTGCTTACGCCGCCGCCGCTGACAGACAAGCCCGCGCCGCCCGTCAAATCCACAGCCTCGTCAAGACGCCGAGGGAGGAGAGAGCGCCGCAGCGTTGGCGTCTCGGAGAGGTCAAGTGGGAGGTCTGAGGCAGAGTTATCGTACTGGGAGTCTGAGGACGGGTGGTGTGAGCGCGATTCAGTGTCGCTCGCGCCCTCCGTGTCCTCGCTGTCAGTGTAGGTGTACACGATGTTCCGCGGCTTAAAGTTCTTGCGCTTGTTGCGCCGTCCAGCCTCCGGCAGGGGCAGGGGCGTGGACGACGGCGACCCGCCAGGGACGTCACTCGTTGTTTCCGGAAACGCTCGCGAGGACGAGTCGTCGTCTATGAACATCGGGGCGCTCTCAGAGTCGTCGCATTCCATATGGTCGCCAGTAACGTCGTCGTCCAGCTGCGTGGACTCCGCGTCAGGGTTGGACTCCTCCTCCAGAGAGTGGCTGGGGGCAACCTGCTTAAACAGACTCATGCCCAGCCCCGGGGACTCGTCAGGGGCGTCTTCGGTGTCGCAGGTGGCGTCCTCGCCCCCAGGATCTTGGTCAGTGTCCATTCTGGAGTCTCCCTCATCCTCGTCCTCATCGTCGTCAGTGCGAGCGCGATCTGTGACCAATATAACTGATCAATAACACCATTAACTACACCAATAACATATAACTTAGTAACATTCCCATTAACTCATCAAAGAACACAAATTAACTCGAAAGAACATTTCATTCCCACCAAAAAGAATATAAAACAATTTTTTTTTAAGTTTCTTATTTCAAGGAGTAATAAGACCAGCGGATGGTTGGAGACCTTACCTGTGTGGTCTGTGTGGGCGTGGAGGGCGTGGTCGTGGGAGAAAGTGGGCGTGGCAGAGGGCTGGGGACCGCCCAGGACCTCCCCGACGCTAGCAGCTACACTCACAACCTCCATAGCATCCTGCAGAAGGCACAAGGTGTTAGTACAGCTACATAACACACACACACAAGGCTTAAATTACAACATGAAAACATGAGAAAAATACAACTGCATAAGACCCCTACGGGACAGCTCCCGTTAATATATCCCATATAGGATATAAATATATATGTCTATCCTACACTTGAAACATTGCTGCGATTCTATCAATTTGAATGTCAAGTCTGTCTATACGTGCTTCTTTGTCTGTGCTTCTGTCTATCTTCGGCTTTCTGTCTTTTCCCGTCTCTCACCCCACCACTGCTCGCTCAAGACATAAATCGCGGCCAGCGATGTCAGCGGCGGTTGACATCGCTGACAAAGGATACAGCCACCGCCGGTGACACTACCGCAAATACAATAAAATATACACTCTCCCAGGTTTTAACTGCATGTTGTATTATGATATTTCCTGCGCCATTCATCTCTGACGAATAAATCACGGTAGACAGTAAATCCCTGTGACAATGTCTCAGACTTCGCGGTAGCCCCGGATTAATATTTCAGTATCATGACTACACATGTGTCGCCAAGCGGCCACTGCTGAAAATCGGATAATCGCCACAGGTTTGGGGATTAGAGATGGAAATAAATATTGGCTCAATCATTCATCATTAAGACGGAATTTGCACAAATCTCATTCGCCACAGTTTGTTGCGCTGGCACACGGCACGGAGGGAGGGAGTTATAAGGAGAAAGCACCAAGCCATTAGACTAAATAGCACTGGGAAGGGGTCAGGATAAGGCACCCCGCAGCACCTCTCCTGTGCCAGGTAAGTCCATTACGGGCTCACCATAGGCCGTGCTACTTGGAACTTGTTCCGAGTAGCTGAATCTGTAACAACATCAGGATAAGGATTTGGAATGGGACGGGGGAAAGGAATGGTGCCCAACCACTTGTGGACGGTCGGGGATTGAACGCCGACCTGCATTCACGGTACGGAGACTCGCCTCTCGGCTACAGCTCTTTCTCTTCCTTTCCCAATCCGTAGAAAATGCAACGGTTTAACCTAGCCACAAACCCAAGCAACCCACTTAACCTATCGACGCCATTGCATAGAATACGTCAACATGACGAATACTTGAATGTTTACTAATACTTGGCGGATTCCCGACGGATTCATCGCTTCCGTAAATATATGCGACGATTTAGGTGAAAACGCAAGACTGTAACATGTGACCATAATCCTCCAACACCTGAAGTACAGCACTGTACTTTGTACTGTCAGGGTAGTTAACAGATGGAATGCATTAGGCAGTGATGTGGTGGAGGCTGACTCCATACACAGTTTCAAGTGTAGATATGATAGAGCCCAATGGGCTCAGGAATCTGTACATTGATTGATTGACAGTTGAGAGGCGGGACCACAGAGCCAGAGCTCAACCCCCGCAAACACAACTAGGTGAGTACTGTCTTCCCCCTCTCCACACAATAACCATATTTTACCACCAACCCAAAATATATAATATAAAAAACACTAATATGTATTATATAAACCACATTTCAAATGCGATACATCGAGTATTCGTAGGTCGAAAATGTATATTACATCAAAATACACAAATATATTACATATATTGCACTAATGGGCAGAGAATTTCGTATTTACGTGCACAAAAATCACATTTTTTTCCCCCTGACAAAACCTCCTAAAATTACTTTTAATACATATATGACAAAACTTTTAATACATATATGACATACATATGACATATATATTTTGCCCAAAACAGTGGGCAAAAAAGTATCCTTGTAAAATAAACTGGAAAATACGCAGTGTGGCTCCCGTCAGGACGATAAATCCTGGCCTTGACCAACGTCAAGCTTTGGTGCGTAAATTACCGCCCACGTCAAGCTTTGGTGCGTAAATTACCGCCAACGTCAAGCTTTGGTGCGTAAATTACCGCCAACGTCAAGCTTTGGTGCGTAAATTACCGCCAACGTCAAGCTTTGGTGTGTAAATTAACGCCAACACCATAGTGTGTATACTGACGCCAACACCAGAGTGCGTATACTGACGCCAACACCATAGTGCGTATACTGACGCCAACACCATAGTGCGTATACTGACCCCAACACCAGAGTGCGTATACTGACGCCAACACTATAGTGCGTATACTGACGCCAACACCAGAGTGCGTATATTGACGCCAACACCAGAGTGCGTATATTGACGCCAACACCAGAGTGCGTACACTGACGCCAACACCAGAGTGCGTATACTGACGCCAACACCAGAGTGCGTATATTGACGCCAACACCAGAGTGCGTACACTGACGCCAACACCAGAGTGCGTATACTGACGCCAACACCAGAGTGCGAATACTGACGCCAACACCAGAGTGCGTACACTGACGCCAACACCAGAGTGCGTATACTGACGCCAACACCATAGTGCGTATATTGACGCCAACACCACAGTGCGTATACTGACGCCAACATTGCGTCATCAGAGAGTGTTGCCAGACGATCTACCTAACATATTTACTGTGATCAACGGGAATAAGACCTTCCAGGTTTCCTATTGGTGGGTTCTAGGAGGCCTGGTAGGCTTATTATCTAAATCTCCGTAGGCCTACAGCTGACTTGCCCACAGGATACATCTCACAACAGTTTCTTGAATACTAGGAGCCACTTGTAGTATTATTGTAGTTGTGGCCATATACACCGAGCGCGCCCACAGGTTATACACCAGGGGCCAGATTCACGAAGCAGTTACACAAGCACTTACGAACCTGTCCATCTTTTCTCAATCTTTGGCGGCTTTGTTTACAAATATTAAACAGTTAATGAGCTCCGAAGCACCAGGAGGCTGTTTATAACAACAGCTAATTGGGACGTTTTCATACTTGTAAATTGTTTAATAAATGTAACTAAAGATGGAGGAAAGATGTACACGTTAGTATGTATATGCGTAACTGCTTCGTGAATCTGGCCCGTAGAGACTTGGGTTCGTTTTCCGGCCGAGGCCCAAACAAATGGACAACCTGGTTGATGGGGTTCTGGGAGTTCTTCTACTCCCCAAGCCCGGCCCGAGGCCAGGCTTGACTTGTGAGAGTTTGGTCCACCAGGCTGTTGCTTGGAGCGGCCCGCAGGCCCACATATACCTGGTTGATGGGGTTCTGGGAGTTCTTCTACTCCCCAAGCCCGGCCCGAGGCCAGGCTTGACTTGTGAGAGTTTGGTCCACCAGGCTGTTGCTTGGAGCGGCCCGCAGACCCACATACCCACCACAGCCCGGTTGGTCTGGCACTCCTTGGAGAAAATTATCTAGTTTTCTCTTGAAGAGTCCACGGTTGTTCCGGCAATATTTCTTATGCTTGCTGGGAGGACGTTGAACAACCGCGGACCTCTGATGTTTATACAGTGTTCTCTGATTGTGCCTATGGCACCTCTGCTCTTCACTGGTTCTATTCTGCATTTATTTCCATATTGTTCATTCCAGTACGTTGTTATTTTTCTGTGTAGATTTGAGATCTGTCCCTCCAGTATTTTCCATGTGTATATTATTTGGTATCTCTCTCGTCTCCTTTTCTAGTAAGTACATTTGGAGAGCTTTGAGACGATCCCAATAATTTAGGCGTTTTATCGCGTCTATGCGTGCCGTATATGTTCTCTGTATTCCCACTATTTCAGCAATCTCTCCTGCTCTGAAGGGGGAAGTGAGTACTGAGCAGTACTCAAGACGGGACAACACAAGTGATTTGAAGAGTACAACCATTGTGATGAGATCCCTGGATTTGAAAATTTTCGTAATCCATCCTATCATTTGGTGCAATATTTGCTTGGTTATGCTCCCTAAAAGTTACGTCGTCAGACATTATTATTCCCAGTTTCAA